CCGGCTCCATCTCTTTCGGTGTTTTCGGTGTGTCGGTCTGCGTCGAGACAAAGGCAGCGGCGGGTTTTTGCTGCAAGAGCCGCGTCTGGCCAAAACACCACAAAGCGCGCAGCCTCGTGCAGCACATGACTCAGTACGACGTCGTCGTTGACAAGCACTTGGAGCGACGATTCTTGGCGGGTCACCACGACGCGATGCCACTGAGACGCCGGCACCGGCGCGCCACTCGTCGCCACAACGTCGGCGCCGATGTGGAGCTCGAGGCACGCGGCCAAGTTGATGTGCAGTCGGCAGACCTCGGTCGTCTCGTTCTCAAACGCACAGAGAAGGCCGCTCGCGTCGCGATCGAGGGGTACGATTTCCTGGGCGGCGTCCGAGTAGTGGAAAAACTTGGTACTACTGGCTTGGCCATTCTCGCCTAAAACGCCGTCGCCCGAGCGCCACTGCACCGACGCCGCCGAGCCGTCGAGCTTGGCGACCGTGCCGACAACGCCCATGCCGAGCGCGTCGTCGCCAAAGAGGTTCCACTGCGGGCCGCGCGTCACGCGGTCACCAATCTTGAGCGTGCGGATCGGCAGCGCTTCGCAAAAGAGCCAAAACTGCAGCGCAAAGACGTTATGCGCGACGAGCTGCAGGGGCACATGGCGCATGCATCGGGCCAAGTGCATCGGCTGCGTGTCCGGGTCCATCGCCAGCATCGTCGTCGTCGCGAGCGCCGTGTAGTTTTGCAAAAGCGACACGAGCAGCGGCGTCAACGGCGACGAGCGCGCGACGTCGGCGCTGAGGAAGCAGTCGCACCAGAGCCGAATCGTGGCTTGGGCGGCGTGCCGAACCTTCGGGCGTGCCGACAAGAGCAAGTCGAAGACGAGCGTGACGAGGTCGGGCGAGAGGTACTCGACGTCGCGCGGCTCGAAATCCATGGCCAGCAGTTTGAGGCTCGCGACGAGAAGTGCTTCGTCGGTGGGCGGCGACAACGCTGCGGCGACGCGACGTACGACGGCGCTGAACGCCGACCGGACACGAACGCGACTGAGCACGTCGCTGCCTTCCAAGCGCCGCGTCAGCTGCACGGTCGGCGCCGCCGACGCCTGCAACGTCGATGCAAATTGGTCCAATACGACGGCAGGCGAGACGCCATGGGTGGCAACCACTGCACCAAGTGCGTCCAAGCCGACGCGACGAAGCAAGGCGCGGTGGTTGCGTACGGCGATGGCACTCGACACATCCGCCACACTCGCATCGCTTTGGACAAAGCCCAGCACGAGCTCTGTCGTTGTCTTGGCCGTCGGATCTCGACCTGCGGCGCTCTTGCGGTAGCTCAAAAGCGCCTTGAGGTCCGTCGCCGCCTTGGCCTCGTCGATGAGCGCGTGCCACTTGTGCATCAGCGACGCATTCGCATCCGACGTGTGGCTTCTCGCAAGCTTGGCGAGCGCACCCCACCGCCGCTTGGACGCGTTGCCATCGTCATCCAGCACCGTCGCTGGCTCAAGCGTCAAAAGAAAGCGTGCCCGTGCGACGACGTTGGCACAGAGTACTTGGAGCGCTTCGTCGGAGGCACCGGCGTACGCTGACGGCTGTCGCTTGAGCGTCGGCTTGGATTCGGTTGCTGGCTTGGCATCCCCGAGATGGAACCAATGGCGCATCTTCTGTGCGTTCCGCCATGCTTTGAGCAGAGCCGCGCTGGCATCCGCGCGAAGGCCCTGCGAGAGTGCGATCGCATCCATGGTCACGCCGTTGTGGTGCAAAAGGGCCGCGGCCACTGCCCGCACCGCCCGGTTGATATACGGCACCGCCCCTTGGTCCTGGATCGTCTTGGTCTTCAGGAGCTTGGCCACAGTGTCGGCCGGCGATCCCTCGGGTTGCTCGATGAGCTCGTGCAAGAAATCCAACGGCGATTCGGCGCGCAAGCCACCGCGGAAGAGCGGTGTCTGCAAGAGCGATTCGTGCTCCAGTTCACACGCCTCCGTCGGGCTCCAGGACGACCACGCTTGGATCGCAATGCTGCCAAGCGTCGCGTTCAGCGCCGACGCCAAGTGCGGTGTCGGCCGGCGATCCCTCGGGTAGCTCGATGAGCTCGTGGAAGAAATCCAACGGCGATTCGGCGCGCAAGCCACCGCGGAAGAGCGACGTCTGCAAGAGCGATGCGTGCTCGAGTTCACACGCTTCCGTCGGGCTCCAGGACGACCACGCTTGGATCGCAACGCTGCCAAGCGTCGCGTTCAGCGCCGACGCCAAGTGCCGCGCCCACGAGAGGCACACCACGTGGCGCGTGTCCTTGGCGACCGCGGTGAAGCGGTAGCCAAAAACGTCCCTGCGTTCTCCATGGTCCGAAACACAACAAAGCACTTGTTGGTCGGGATGTGAAGCGGCGGCGTCGACCCAATGCCTGGGAACATGGTGCTGTCGCCGTTGCCGAAGTAGCGCTCCTCGCCGTGGTACGCGGCGCACGACTCGTCCGTGTAGAACGTGATGCTGTTGTAGTATCCCTCGGTGGCCGACCGCGGGTCAAACGAAATCGTCATCGTCGACGCGCCGGGCAGCACAAACGCCGTGTCGATCTGTGTGTTGGCGACATTCGGGTGCGCCGACTCGAGCGATCCGATTGCGTCCGTCACCTGGAGCGACCGCGCCGGCGCCTCGTCCTCCGTCGCCGCAACGGACGACAGCTTTGGCACCAACGCCGAGATGGAGGCGACATAGCCATCGAGGGTCGCCAGACACGGCGGTACCGTCGTCTCGAGTACTGCGTGCACAAATGCAACTGCGACGCCGACCGCCTGGCCGACGACACCAGCTTCGAGACTCTCGCTCGATGTCGACGGATCACAAATGCGCGCCGCGGTCTCGAACAGCTGACGCGCCAGCGTCACAAGACCATCGATATCCAGCCATTCGTTGGCGAACGCACCAATCGCGGCATGCAAGGACGCCACGACGAGCGACGTGAGCGGCGCCGTCAGCGAGTGAACAAAGCTCTCGGGCGCGGCCTCGGATTGGCGCACGACGAGGTCCAAGAGCGACGACCACGCCGACGACGTGACGATGCCTTCCTTTGCGAACGCCTGCATCTTGGTGTGCGACGCCAGTTCCGTCAGCACAAGGCGCAGCGCCGGCTGCTGCGACACCGGCAGAGTCCCTTGCATCGCGGCCGAGAGCAACGAGAGTGCGTACGCCCACTGACTCGCCAGCGTCGGGTGCGAGAGGTCGAGAATCGCTACCGAGAGGGCTTGGGCTGCTGTCAAAACACTTGGCGTCGGCGCGGCTTCCACGAGGCGCTGTAGAATCGCCGCGAGGCCGCTGGCGCCAACGAGCTTGCCAACGTCGTCGGACCGTGTCGGGTCGTGCTGCCAGTGCTGCACGTTGCGCAAAAGCAGGCGAAGGGCCGTCTCCAGCACAACCGCCTCGGTGGTCTCGGCGACCAGGTTCAAAAGAAGCGCAAACGTCGTCGGGCTCAAGTCGACGAGAAATGGAACGTGGCCCACGCTGTACGTTGTATCGCCGGCGTAGGCATCCAGGACCCGCGACACGTGCGCTACGACCCGATGCGCGACGGTCGTCGGCGTCGGCGACGGCGCCACCGCCGGTGCCGGTGCCACGTGGAGACCGTGGTTCTGGTGCGCCACCAAAATGTTGCCGTCGTGGTCACTACTCGCGCGCCAAAGGAGGTTGTTGCGCGCGTCAAACACAAGTGCGCGGGCGTCGACGTCGACGTCGTGGTGGCTTACAACCACGTGTGGCTCGTCGCTCTCGAGCTGCAGCTGCAGAGACGGCATCGGTGACCCTCGCTGCGTCACGACTACGACGTGGCCGTTGGTGTAGTACATGGCGTCGTTCGACGACCTGCGAAAGAACGCTTGTGCATCACCCGAGAGTGCCACGTGCCACGTCTTCGCGACCGCAAAGCCCTCGGTTCGCTCCAGTCGCTCCAGCCCAAGCTCGGCACCGTGGAGCGAGGCAGTAAAGAGGTGGTCGCCGTCGGTGAAGACCGTCGTCGCCGTCGTCGCAACGTTCACGCGTGCAGTCGGCATCAAAGTCGATGCATCGAGCACCCACACCTGGAGCGCCGGCGTCGTCGACGAGTCGATGTCCGTCGGTCGCTTGCACGCAACGCTCAAGTACACGCTGTCAGCAACCGCGAGAACGGACACGGTATAGTCCGACCAGTTGATCGCGTCGGCGGTTGCAAAGAGGATCTCGGCGACCGACGACGCCGGTGCGTGGGCATACACCTTGCCCGCGACGGCACCGTGGTACCCCGACCCGACCTTTTGCAGCCCGTTGCCGGCGCTCCAGCCATAGACGTACTTGCCGTCGGTGGCGAGCGCCGAAAAGATCGTGTCGTCGTTCTGGCCGTCGTCGTCGAGGACATGCACTCGCTTGAGCACATCGTCGGCGACCAAGAGGCTGAGCTCAAACCGCACCTTGTACGCTTCAAGGCGGTGCAAGATGGCATCGATGTGCGCCGACTGGTCGCGGGGCAGCGCCGCGGCTACGGACGCGTTCGCAGGGCGCAAGAGGAACGAGGTCGCGGCCAAGAGCGGCTCGAGGTGGCCGCTCGACTCGCCGAGCGCCAGCAGCAGCGAGAGGGCATACCACGTCGACGTCGGGTCGCCTGCCGCGTCAGTAAGAAGCCGTGTCGCAAACGCAACGTGCGAGGCGAGGAGCGCGGCCTCGGCCGAGTGCGGGCGAATGGCGCTGAGCGACAGCGGCGGGCAGTCGAGGATCGAGCCGACGATCGTTTGCATGCCGCTAACAAAGAGCGACGGCGCTTGGAGTCGAAAGTACGCGAGCATGTCGAGCTGCAAGCGGCTCGACGAGAGCGAAAAGAGCTGCTCGGGAAAGGCGCTCGGGGCATGCGCCGAGACGAGGTACGGCGACGGGGCCTCGGCAGGCGTCGCGTCGGGCGTCATGGCGCATGCGAGCTGCGCCATGGTCTTTTTTAGGCAGTAGCGCGTCTGGAAGGCCTCGAGCGCATGGTCGATGGTCGCCAGCGATGGCGTCGTCAAGACGGCTTCGCGCAGCACCGCCGACGGCGTCACGGCATCGAACGACTCTTGGAACGACCGCGGCTGTGTTGGGAAGGCAAAGAGGCGCAGCCGGTCGA